TAAATTCAATACTGATAGCACTTATCAATTATTGTATTGAGAAAACGAATAATTAGAATGTAATTATTAAGATTAAAAGGGGTGAATTTATAAAATTTACTCAAATTCATAACCTAAGATAATGAAACTCTAGGGTGCTATTGGCCACTAACCACTCGCTCGTCGGCCGCTCGGGCTCCACGTTTCAAGTTCGTTATCCTAACCGTCTCCTCTGCTCCACCGGGAGCCTGGCCCCTTCTTCGATCTTATCTACAGCTTTGCTCCTCGGCTTTCTACGGCTCCAGCCGCTCGCTGTAATAGCTTGCTTCTCAGGTGGTGCGGCTAAGCCAGAGTGGGCTCAGCAGTCGGCCTATGTTTCCGGGCGCATGCGTAAAGGCATGATTAGTTCCACAAATCTCACTGCACTGACCATAGTAAACTCCTTCTCGTTGTACCAAGATGGAGATTTGATTTAAACGACCAGGTACAACATCACATTTGACACCTGAGGAAGGTACAGCTCAACTATGAGGTACATCAGCAGGTGTTACAATAATACGTAGATGAGTTTTGGCTGGTAGAACCACTCTATTGTCCACTTCTAATAAACGTGATTGACCCAATTCTAAATCATCTTCTGGAATCGTATAACTGTCAAAAGTGAGTGACTGTTCATCGGAACGGTTATAGTCAGAATACTCATAAGTTCGATACCATTGATGTCCAATAGCTTTGATAGTCATGGCTGGATCTACTACTACCTCGTCCATTGAGTATAAGAGAGTAAAGGATGGTATAGCAATGAACATCGGAATGATACTAGGAAAAATGGTCCAAAGAATCCGTAGGCTAGATATACAAGTTTGGCTTTATAATTTGTAACCTAAGTTCATAAGTCAAATTTATCATTAATTAATTTTTAAAACATAATTAATTAAATTTTCAGTCTTTATAGTTGACTCTGGTTAATTTAAGTATGTATTTATTTACTATATTAAGCAATATTTAAATCAAGATTTAAAATAAGAAATTATATTAAAAAATTAATTGGTTTATAAATTTTCTAAAAATTATATTTGATTGAATTGAATCTAACTCGACCTATCGTGAATGGCGATCAATCACGATTCCTCGATGGCAGTGATGGCAAAAGCCTACAACCCACCCCCTCCCCTTCTCTAAAATTTGAGGTAATTCCTACCCTCTAGCTCGAGTTAGATGGTATTTTATTGACAATAAATATCGTGTTTATAGGGAATAGGCACGAAGGGAGGAAAGAGCTGGACGTCGAGATGTTCATGGGCTAGGGTCGGGATGAAAAATTACCTTCAAATCTATACATATTTTTAATATGTTTTGAAAATATATTTATATTAAGTGGAGCGGGAACTGGGCCCCGATGAGGACAGAGAATATAATCTCATTATGAGCCCCATTTATCTAATGAAAAAATGTTCCTCACTCTCTCCTCATTCTTTGTATGGGGAGTCCTCTCTGTTTGGAGTGAATCCCAGATCAAATGAAACTCGAACTCTAATATATATATATATATATATATATATATATATATATATATATATATATATATAATATAATTGATGATTTATTTCTTGAATAAAACCCAAAAAAAAAAAAAAAAAACACAAACTCCGGACACATACTTAAAGTTATTAAACAATAATTTTTTCTCAAACCAATGGATACAAAAAGATTGCAAAGTCAAGGCTTCATGCATTGTTAGCTAAGACATGTCATTGACAATATTTGCTAGTAGTAGGCTTGAGCTGTTACAAATGATATTATAGCTAAGGGATAAATTATAAGATCGTACATCAGTTGGAGAGAGAAACAGGTGTGGAAACTCTCCCTACAAGAAGCATTTTAAAACCATAAGGCTAATGACACTATGTAACGTGCCAAAATAGACAATATATAGTAGTAGTAGGCTTGAAGCGTTACAAATGATATCAGAGCCAAAAACCGATTAATGTGCCAACAAGGATGCTGACCTTTAAGGAGGTGGAATGTGAGATCCCACATCAGTTTGATAGGAAAACGAAACATTCCTTATAAGTAGAAATCTCTCTATACCAAAGACGTTTTAACATCGTGAGGCTAACGAAGAATACATCATTTTGAATGAAGATGAGGTGGATAATGGAGATGGGATCTTCAAATCCGATGGGCCCTGAGGCTTTGGGATTCGTTGGGTTCATGTGCCGTACTCTCCGGTCATAGCAGAAATGTTGACCATACTCATTGGTCTAATGGTCCAGCCACACTAATATGGAAATTACAAACGTTCATTTCTATCCGTGAAAATAGAATTTAATTTAGAAAAAAAAAAAAAACATAGTTAAGAGTTGAACTAAACCAACCAATCAAATTTATTATTAATTTTAATAATTTATATTTTTACTTGTAATACATATATTTATTTTATTTAAATTTAAATTTATAATTATTTTTTTGTTATTTATTTTCTAACCACGAGCAAAAATAACTTTTAATTATTTCTGACCTAATTTTTAAAATATATATTCAAATTGAGCGATAACTCTTAATTAAATATTTAAAAATAAATAAATAAATATTTTATTGACATCCTATTTTTATTAAAAACAAATAAACTCAACCCAAATACTATACCTCTCACATTTTGTTTTAATTTTTTTACGATTGGTTATGATTTATGTGAAACCGAAAGGAGGTTCAACAATAAGTTAAGTCTAATTTGAAGCTCTACCGGCACCTATTTAATGGATTATTTGAAGCTCGGATGGTCCGACATATAAAAACACAAACATAATTATAAAGAAACACAGGAAAAATAGATTCCAAGAACATGGGAGTAAAATGGTACAAGGACGTAGCCATAATCCAAGAAATCTAAGAAAAATAATTATGAAGAAAAAAAGAAAAATCTTTAAAATTAATCGAAGGAATAAATAATTGTAATATGATAATTTATATAATTCAATAATATTATAATAGTATAGAAAAAATTCATACCATAATTGCCCATATTGAAATATATCACCAATAATTAAATTAATAAAAATAATAACTCAAGTGGGCCATGTGCCAATCTAAATTTCCATGCTTCTAATGTCTAAAAACAAATATTTTATTTATCAAATGTTTTTATTTTTATATACAGAAATTATTAATTTAAATATTTTCATTTATTTATTTATTTTCGCACTAAATAAGGAAATCAAGTTGGCCTCGATATTGACATCTGGATTACTTCGCCATTACGAGTTGGATTCCACCACCACTCTGTCCATCCCACGTCATCCCGACGTTCAACTAGACCCCCGAAATTAGGCGTGGGACCCACCTGCTTTCTTGCGTGGCACTGCCACGTCACTCCGATATAATGCGAGGAGGGACCGTAGACTACTACTTCCGGTCACAATTCTCGACCCAATTTCTCTTTATTAATTAAATAGGTTATTAAAAAAATTATAAAATAAAAGTATACTATTATAATTTTTAATTATTTTAAATATTTATCCGTCATATTATTGGAAGAGATACTACTTTAATATCAACTGTAACGACCCAATTTTTCTATTAAAAATTAAGGTAGTTATTATATGTCTGAAGGAAAAAAAAAATCATTTAATTTTTTTTTTAAATAATCTATTTTGATATTTTAATTATAAGACATTTTAAAATGTTTTTTTCACTAAACTAAAATTAAACTTAAAAACAACAGCCATAAATACTAAAAAGATTTTTTAAAATCTGTTTATTAATTTAATGTCCTTAATCAGCCGCCACATAGATCGGTTGTGGGTTCTGGTGCTACGGTTTCCGGCACACGTGTGACGGGCAAACTTGTAAGGCTGCCCAAGAGACACGGGCAGAGAGGTGGAGCCCAGTGGACAATGACCTCGTATATCGTGCCAAGAGTTTCATGCTTCGTTGTTGCTGTCGGCTTCTGATTGGACAGTGGGGACAATGTCTAGTCAGCAAGAATAATAATTTCTTCGCTTTTTCTAAAAACAAATATCATAATATTCCGAATATTAATTTCTTTCCCCCCTGTGGGCCCCTTTGAACTTCCAGAGAAATTATGATGCTTTAGTGAATTGTCCTTTTTGCCCTCAACTATTTCCCTAAATTACCGATACACCCCACCTCTCCCCTTCACTGTACTTGGATATCTGACTGTCAGATAAGAGCAGCCTAGATTTTGTACATTTTATTATTATTATTTTTTTTACCCAACTTTCTCTAAATCCTATTTTCGCCCCATTAGGACCCACATATTTAATCACATACTTTTCGGGCTCGACTTGTCATATTATGTGTCGCATTTGTACACAATATGATTGCAATTTGCTATCCGTTCTCTCTTAATATCTTCATCGAGAAGATTATTGACACTTTTCTTCCTTTGTATTATCAAAACTTCATCTTATCTGCTCGTTTCAATTTCGAACATATTTCTCTAATATCAGTAAAAATGAGCCTAAATGGTCTTTAAAATGTAAATAACTAAAAAAAAAAAAGAAAAAAAAGGGTGAATTTGAAATTACTAGAGAAGGGAAGGACCAAATATCAAAATTTTACCTCTTTGTCTGTTCATTTTCAATTTCTCTGTCTCTAATATTTGCAAAAATGGGCCCAAATGGTCTTTAAAATGTAAATAACTAAAAGAAATGGTGTGAACTTAAAATTACTAGAGAAAGGAAGGACCAAATATTAAATTTATTAAAATTTATTGTGTCCCTTCCTTTTAAAGGAATAGGTACATGCACTGTGCCATTAGATTAACTCAATTGGAATCTAAATAAACGCCACTTGGAATTTAATCAAGTACAAAACCTTTTTAATTACAATATTAAGTATTCCAGTACATCGCACACTACGATGGTTTTGGTTTGTGTATCCAATCAATTTCCTCCACGTCCGTTATTATCACGAGGTTATGAACAGCTCACGGAGATCCCGTGTGATACGAAGTAGAGGATTACTCCTCACTGATTCAGGCGACTATAAAATGGCCCGAGATCTCCGGTTTTTCCCACATTCGGCGCTCTTGCTCGCTTTAGCCCTAATCTCTCGATTTCGAAGTGGAAATTTCTCTTCTATATGAGGAACGGAATGCGGTACCATGGCGGCGGTGATGATCACCGGCAGGAATCTCATTTCCTCGAAGCTTGCTTCCTCTGCCGGAGGCCGCTCGGATTCAACCGAGACATTTTCATGTACAAGTGAGTGATTGTGATTCGAATTCAATTCATTTCGTTCCGATTTCATTTTCTAGGTTTTTTTTTTTTTTTTGGAAGAAATTTATGTGAGACGATACTGACGGAATCTGCTCCGAATCGTATTGATTTCAGAGGTAACACGCCGTTCTGTAGCAAAGAGTGCCGGCAGGAACAGATTGAAATGGACGAAGCGCAGGAGAAGAGCTGGAGAATGTCTTCGTCGTCATCGGCGGATAAAACGACTGCGTCTGGTAAGAAGAACGTAAGGACGGATACAGTTGCAGTGGCGTGAGTTCCGATGAAGAAATCTTGAGATAAAGAACGGAAAACAGAGAAAGAAAAGGAAATTCAGATTCAAATGCGAGAGGAAAAGATTGGTGTTCTTCGAACACAGAAACACAAAAGGAGAGAAAGAAATGGAAATTCAGATTGAGATTTCTTCCTGTGGAGAAGAATCGATTGGCAGAGGCTATACAGAACTGTTCTGCTTCAATCTCTCTACTCAGCTTTTCAATTTTTTGTTTAAATTATAAATAAAAAAAGTTTGAATTTCATATAAATTGTTATATGAACTAGAATCCTAATTTTTAATTTTAATTTTTAGATGGATGTAATTTTCTTTTGTTATTTTAAAATACAGGCACAGATCCATATATATGTATGGTACATTTCGTGTTCCATTTTTGTTCCTTTTGTTTTGTTTTATTTCCTAAAACTGCAAGTACTATGTACTTTGTTATTTAATATTTAAATAAAACTATAGATGTACTGAATATTTAGTTCAGGTTAATTTATGATTAGAAATATTTTCATATTTATGTCTTTTGCTTTTTTAAAATCTAAAAAAAATTTGAACCAGACCTAGTATAAGTTGTGCTGTATGTGATTATTACATAGAGCATGGTCCCTTTTTAAATAGGAGTTGCATAAATATCATTACAATCTTGTGGCACAGAGACATACTTATTTTAATTCAACGAATAAATCAAGAAATTTAGATTTTGCGGATAACATTGGCGTTCGCTTGAGTTTCGAATCACGTTTGAGAGAAATATTTTAGATATTTTAAAAACGTGAGGAAAGAAATGCGTTTATAACAATTTTAAATAAAATAATGTTATAAGCTAAAAATGAGTAGACAACAACGATGACTTTGAAAGCATATAACCCGGGTATGAAGATTTGACAACTAGTCGTATTATCGTGTAGTATATTTTGGGATATTTTAACTAGTGTAGACATGATTTTGGTGAACGGTCATATCGACACAACAAATATAGTAAATATCTATATATGAAAGCAAGTAAAGATAGATTTGGAACAGGAATGCACCTATGGACAATATATCCTAGACAAACATGATTGAGACATCCATCACGCGACCAAAGACAACACATCTTAGACAAACATGACTGTAACTATAACAGGAATCATCATACTAGTGTGCATTTTTTTAATTTATTTTGCAAGTCACAAACAAATTTTACTCTACTATCATGTGAATATCCTAAGTTCACCGTAAAGAAGGAAAGCTTTTTTTTTTTTTTTGTAAAATATTCTCATCATGGTCAACGTTAAACCGAGCATATTAAAAATATAAATTAAAATTAATATAGAGGTGAATCAGATGAAAATCATCACCTACAAATAATAGAAAAAGTCACGCCTATTTGGCCTCATTCGCAACGAGAACGACCATATACCATATAAGGATATTGTGGAGCTCAACAAAGGATGAGTAGAAAAGGCTGAAATTTGGCTCATGAAGACTTAAAAAAACGACTATAGAAAATAGAAGAAAGATAGGTAGGTAGAGAGAGATAAAAAGAACTTCTATTCTAACTTCAAAAAAAACGAGCATTAATTTCCTTAAGGTAGAGACGACCCAAAGTAGGTAAGTTCATTAAGTTACTTAATTACCATCCATCAAGTTTTGATTCGAGAATGACTATTTACAAAATACAATAAAATATGATCTGTCTATCTTGTCGCATAGCTAATGAATCAATTTTTCGTTCAAAAGGGTACGACATGTCAATATTGTAAGTAAACCACAAAATAATGCCATTGTTACATGTTTCTACGATCTACTCAAAGGCTCTACTAAGATAATAAGATATTAAACCTGTCGAAAATTGAATATTAATAAAGTTTCGTAATAATATAATTTATTTGAAACTTTATATTTTTAACTTTTAATTAATAGTTCGACTTTAAAAAAAATAAAATAAAAAGTTGGTATAAGGGCAAATCGGTAACTTCAAAATTATTAAAAATCTGCATTTAAAATTTTTAGCTATTATGGCAATATCATAAACCTATATTCATTTAATAATTAAAAAAAACTATTTATTTTTTATTTTCTGAAAAATTCTTATAAGTGGGCTTTCTGGTTAGGCCCACGACTTTAAAGCCCATACTCTAAGCCCAAACTAAAAAATTTCCAATCATTTCCTCGCAGCCCAACAGAAAACCCCACGGTTAAGAAAAGTTTATAAATTTAAAAGTAAAAAGTGAAAAAGAAAAAGAAAAAGGAAACACTATCATTTTCGTAGCGTTATAAATAATTCCATATAAAATAATTAAAAAAAAAACATGTTTATTAATTTTATTTTCTGGTTTGACTTTAATTAAAAAAATTAAATGTTTGGTGGAGAATTTGTTTTTATATACATTTAATATACATATTTTTTTTCCATTTTTTAAATGAGTTATTAAACTAATATATTTTTAATATAGATTGTTAATTGTTGACTAAACTAGTTATACTCAAATTAAACGTGATCCATGAAGCCTAATAACGACGATGCGTGACTTGCAACTGCAATAATAATGAAATGCGACCAATGTGATGGCGACATGCAGTTCACGTCGAGAGTAATGATAATGTTGGCTATAGTAATACTCTCGTAAATAGTGTCACAACCTTACTAAGAAGATAAGTAGGTTGAGATTCTTAGAAGTGGACCAACAGATAAATGTCAACCCTCAAGTGATGCCCATTTGACTACTTGAAGTCTGAGACAGATAAATGTCATGATGCGACTGAAGAGGATGGTGCATCATCCAACACATCAAGAAGAGTGTATATTAAAACCAAGTTGAGACATGGACAAGTTTGGAGAGAACGATCTACAAGTGTCGAAGACAAAGCTTGGAGAGGGTTGGATAGGGTCCCGGGCCATAACCTCAGAAGTCGAGGTTCCGATATAACTTTCGACACGTGGCTCTAGAGTTAACTCGTCTATATGAAATATGAAAGTTCACCGAACTTAGAGTCAATTAGATATCCTACAAACGCTCAACGAGGTCGGTGGCATGAAATGTTGAGGGTCGTCTGTTGCAAGAGGTTTCAACGACCATAGGCTGGCCAAACCACCTTCGATGTTTACGAGAGAGGGCAAGAGTTGAGTTTAGGGTTTAGGGTTTAAAGTTTTTATTTATTTATTTAAATTTTGTACCAAAACTAGGTACAAACTGTCTAACGTTCAAGAATTAAAAAGGTTACAATAAACGCCAAAAATTATTCCCCACATGCAACTATAAATAATAATTATAATTATTATAATAATAAACCAAAAAATGGCCGAGAATTTATATGCATATAAACAAAATATATAATTTAGATTTTATAATAATTTTATTATATTATTTAATTTTAAATAATTAGTAAGTTAATTATTTTACTTAATATTAATATTAAGTCAAATTATTAAAATAATTTTAATTCATTTAATCTTGATTTATTTCCCTTAAATTTTAGGCTTTTTAAAATTGTTTGATAATAAATTTAATAATTATCTTTTAATAAAATTATATAAACTTTTGTTATAAATATTTGGTTGGAATAAATTATATTAAATCTTATACGATTATAATAATTTATTAATAAAATAAGAATATTTCTTGAATAATTATTTTTAAATAAATAATTTTAATAAAATTATGCAAAATAGATAAATGGTCCACATTGTTATTTAATTCGATAAGTTCGTTAATAAAAGCAAATTCAATAAACGTATGGTAAAAACTTAACTTTCAAGCTAAGTTGTACATGAGTAACTTCTTGTTGATAAGTCACGATTCTTTGGATAAAAGTAGTTTGCACATCGAAACAGTTTCTATATAATCTTTAATCCCGCTCAAATTTATTTTTAATGTATTAAATATTTTAAATTAGATCCAACTTAACGTGTCGATCTCATCAATAAAATTTGTATTCAAATTGATATATTTAAGTGAATTTAATTTAAAACACGTTCGAATCAATAAAACAATAATTTAATAACGTGTCAATTTCTTATTTATAAATTTCAATTTACAAAAATCTAATAGTGAGTTAAAAAAAAAAAGTATAAAATTATTTTAAAGTTCATTATTCCATTTAAAATTATATTAGAAAAATAATTTAAAAACAGCATAATTTTTAATGATAAAATAATAATAATTTCATTTAAACCAAAAAAAAATATCTTATACCGGCGGAGCGTGGCAACGGAATTATGGAACCGACGTATTAATTAAAAAATTGTTTAATTTAAATTAAAAAATCTGCAACGGTCAAATCATTGTAATCAGTTTTTCTGTTCCAAATAATTTTTTATTAAAAAAAAAAAAAAAACAATTGGTAATTGCTTGTATATATTTAAAATATTGGACCATAAGTTTTCTTTTTAAAAAGAAATTAATATTTTATATATATATATATATATTTATTTATTTAAAATAATGTTTATATTTTGTTAAATTAAAATTAAATTTGGTCAAAAAGAGCTAGGCTATGTTGATCATTGTAAAATTGAATAAAATAGAATATTGTATATAAAAAAAATCTATTGATCTAAATTTTCTCGAGCTTTGGCTTCACAGGTGGTTTTGGTTCGATAATTTAATTGTTCTATAAGTTTGGTATTAATTTTTTTTTTCTAATGTAATGAAATTAAAAGTGTACGAACTATAATATCGCCTCGTAACTTTAAGATTTAACGTAAAAAATATTATAAATTCACAAACAATTGAAATATAATATTTAAATTATGAATATATATATATAATAAATCAAAGTCGTGATCTTTTAAATATATCTATATTTGGTTATTTAAATTTTAAATTTTATGATTTACTTAATAAAAGAATATTTAAAATTTTAAATTTGTGGTTAAAGAATTTTGAATATATTCCAAACTTTAAAAATTAATTAATAATACTAAATTTTCAATTTGCAACTAATATGTTTGTAGTTTTTTAAAATGTTAAATTAACGATTTATTAAACACAAAATAGGTATACATTGAAAAGTTGAAGGACTAAATTGTAATTTAATAAACACGACCCGTTACATCATCCCAATAGCTTACGAATCAAGCAACCTACATAAAAAAAAATCTCAATAATCAATAATGTTTAACTAATGCCAATCCACTAATTACTGAATTAACTTTAAACAAACATCCAACCTTAAAATACCCTAAATCACCACAAAACACTATCAACACGTATCTGATCGTGTTTATTTTTAGATTTTAAAAAATATTTAATAGATTTTTAAATTT